ATGGATGAATGGATGAATGGATGAATGGATGAATGATGGTTGGATAGTTGGATTGATGAATGAATAAAGAAAGGATGAATGAATCAACAGATTGATAGATTGATGGGTGGATGGATGAATGAATGGATGGACGGATGAATGTATGGGTGGATGGACAGATTAATGGATGGATACCATAGATGGATTAATGGACAGTTGGCTGACAGAATTATAATAATAATAATGGGAGGTTCTTATATAGCACATTTTACATGGTCTCAATGCGCTTTACATCTGTTGTTTAAGTGATATTATAGCCAACTTAAAACCAACTGACTGGCCAAATACTCCAGTTTTGAGTTCTTTATTGCTCACGTTTAGCCTTGATTTGCTGCAGAACATTCACATTTTCCAGTAAAGGTCTGTGAAATTTCAATTTTTTTTGTTGAAGTTGTGCGTTCTTTAGTTAACCCTTGGTATTTGTGAGTATTTTGAAACTGATACGAGGCTAATAAGCCTGAGTAAATAAGTCTGTAATCTAGGAACACAGCAGTAATTTGGAACTTGAAAAAAGTCTATTAAGGAATGATTGTTTGATTGATTACCTTCATGGATGTGTCCAAAGATGTGATACTTCGGTTTTACTCTGTTCTGGACAGCTTGTAGCAAATGAATACAACCAGCTCTTGCTTGAGTAAAACAAAGATCACCATACCCTAAAATAAATACCAAGAGAGAACAATGCATAAACGAGACAAAGCAAGGGTGGCATAGCCGTGTGAGTGCTCGCCTCTCATTAATGCGACCCGAGCTCGAGTCCCGCCAGGTTCGGTGTTGTATATGAGTAGAGTTGTTTGTTGGTTTTCTCCTGTGTTTCGAGGGGTTTCCCGGGTTCTCCAGTTTTCCTCCCTCTGCAAAAATCAAGTCCTAAATTCCAATTCGATCATGGAATGAGGGCCACAGGTTTGTTAGCCACTGGCTATTAAGTGTTACCCTTGTGAAAAAAGGACAGGGTTTTTTTTTTTTTTTTTTTTACACACACATGGAAATAAGGATTTCTAAGGGGTTGGGAGAGCCTGCTGGGTCACATTTCCTCCAAGGATGGAAACTTTTGATAACATTTCACCTAAAGGAGGGCCATGTGTAATGAGAATATCAATGCCATCAGGAATTTGGTTCCACTTTTCCTTGAGTTCCTCTCCTCTTGGTAACATAAATGCCCAGTTACCAAAGTCTGGTACCCTAGAAGAAATAGAGTCCTCATTATCATTAGCATCATCACTTTCACAAGGAATGTTGAACATCATTGTCTCCACCATCATAATTATGATTATCAGTACTACCACCTTCACCTTCATCATCATCACCATTACCATCATTACCTGCATCTCTTTTACCATTCCCATCTTCATAATCGCAACTATCATCATTATCATCATCATCATTATCATCATCATCATCTCCACCACCATCACAACTTTTTTTTTTTTACCATTCCCAGGTCTATCATCATATCATTGTCACTGTCATCATCATTATCAGGCCACACCATCATTACCAGCACCACCATCATCATCATCTTCAACACATGAACACTTCCATCACCACTCTTATCTTCTTTACTGTGACCCCATCTTCATTGTTACACATCACACCGTTAATTAGCTTATCATCATTGTCATCACCATAATCATAACATACCATGGTGATCCATAAATTCGAATTCTATTAATAGTAACCTCGGAGTCCTCAAGATAAGTCAACTTTGTTGTATCCAGTAGTTTTTTAGCTTCAACTGGATCACCTTTTTCCCCGACAGATGTTCCCCAGTAACTATACAGGTATTCATACTTCTCCCCATGCATAATAAGATCATGATTTCCAGCGATGAAGACCTTATGAGGATGACTCAGCGACGTTATAAACTTTTTAAATYCATTAATCTCCTTCATATTACCAAGCATGGTAAAATCCCCTGCGTGGATTAAAACATCTCCATCCGGTATCGGGTGCTCAAAATTCTTAACGGAGTGGGTATCGGATATACACACAAATCTCGTATGGTTCGGTGGTTTTGGAGTGCTCGGATCCATTGGTTCTACCTCTTTAACCGTCTGTGAAACTTGTAGAATACTCCAGGCTTTGTTTGGCTCTTCAGCATGTTCCTTTACTACTTCGTCTAACTTAGAAGATGGTGATTTTTTCTTCAGAAATTTCATAAGTGCCATTGTTGCAAAAACTCTTCAAAATCCTCGCGAACTTACAAAAGTCGTAAATAAAAATTGTCCCGCAACAATATCTAAACGAAGCCCTTATAGTATTTAAAATATAAATACTTAAAAGTCAAGAAAAAACAAGGGAAAATACCCATTGATCTGTTAAATGGCATCTCATTTCCTGTTATGCTGGATATTAACCAGGCGTTTCTCGTACAAAACCGATTAGGACTGAGCTTGACTTTGTAAAAACTGAGGGAGGGGAGGGGTAAAGAAGCAATGCGAGTACAAAACTAAAAATATCTTTATTTATTTCAAAAATAATATAAATTTATCAAAAAGACTTTAAGTATTCATATATAGGTAGTGGCTATTTGGAAGGCAATATATTTAAATAACAAAATTGGCGAAAATTAGAGAACCAAATTTTTCCTTTCCCTACCCCTGTGAATAGATAATTTACTCGTTTCCAGACTTCACTCTCCTGTTGGATTATTTATAAGATTCATACAGTTTATTTTCTTCAACAGTTTTTGTTGAACTTCAAAACTTTTTAGATTTAAATCTTTTTACCATTGATCCTTAGTTTGATTTCTAAAAATCTGTAAATTTTAACAATGCCTCCTAAGAAAGCAGCTAAAGAGACTTCGACAAGCAATGGAAATATTCCTTTTTTCCAAATTTTTATATTCTTGATCGCTACAGTTTCGATGGCTATAAACTTTGGGATAATAACAGGAAAAATTCCAATCAAAGGTAAGTTGATATATCAAATATTATTCTAAGGGTCTTATTCTTTAAGTATATATAAAAAAAAAGGAATGATTAAAAAAACCAGTTGTTTTTCTTTGTAAAATTTTGGAAAGTTTACTCATACGTGGCCTAAATCTTGTCAAATTTGATGAATGGTTTTCGTTTATTTCCTAACGATTTCATGTTATTATTTTTTAAGGATGTGTTGGTCCAGCTGGAAAAGATGGAGAACCAGGTAAAGGATACTTTAATATAAAGAATAATTTCTTTAATATAATTACAATAATGAAAGCGGAACAAGACCAAATCAATCATACTTTTTAAAACTTGTATTATTCTTATTCAAGTTTTGAATCATTAATAGTGAAAAGAAAGCTCTATTTGTTTTATTGTTCAATGTCTAACAGTGTTAAAAAATGGATTTTTCGTTTGATATTTGAACAGGTTTGGCTGGCTCCCCTGGTGAACGAGGCCTACAAGGTTTGATTACTACCAGTTTACAATTGTAATTTTTTTTACTCGCGGCCATAAAATATTTCATTCAAACGATTCCATCATAATAAAATGTAATTTTATCCTGTAATTTCTGAATAGTTTGGTTACAAAACCAGCTATTTTCGGCCTAAATTTCACGCTTTTGCACAATGACACGTATAGCGTCTTGGATTTCTGTTTTCTGTCACGGGATACGATTTTTCAAGTGCTAATCTTTGCTTCACTTCACAATATGAATATTTGAGTAAAAAATTTTGATATGAAGACATTTGCCGTACAATTCTTTTTTTCTCTCTTCTTTTAATCCTAAAGTGAATTTCGATTATTGATTGAGTTTTAATGAAGAAATTGGGGGGAATTATCCTCGAAATTTTGGCCAAAAATTCAAAGTTGAGAATCCTTTTGAATGTAATATTAATAGTTGTTTTAATCCACGTGGCAGATCAGACGGGAAGCCATTAATGGTGCTTAGCAATCTCGATCTCTTTAGCCTGTTTCTATGGCAAAAAATAATCTTTGTTGTTGGGTATTCATGTTAAAGAAGCTATAAAATGGAATTCTTCTCTTTCCCTGGGAAGCATTTGGGGAATTTTGAAGGCCGACCATATCATGCTTTGAGGTTAGATAAAGGAGGAAAATAATTTTGTAGACTCAAATCGTCTCCTAAATAATAAAATATAAGAAATTCTATTAATTATAAGTATTAGTAAGAGCAAGGATTGTGGTTTAAAAATCAACTTCTAAAACTCTTATCAAAATGGGTCTTTCTCTTAATGATATGATTATAATATCGTAAAAATATGTTGATATAAGCAAGTAAACTTTTTCAGCTTGGGTGTAATGTTTTCTCTTTCAGTCCATGTGTCATTCCCTTGAGTATTATTTCTTTCTTTACTAGGAATTCCCTTGAGTATTATTTCTTTGCTTATCAGTAATGCTACAGAATATAATGACATAAAGTGCAACTGAAAAAATGATATAACCTAGCTGAAATTTAAAGAATTAATTGCCAGCGTAGCGGCCCAAATTGGGAAATTTTGAGGGGAGGGGGGAAGGGGTGGGGGGCCTGTGGAGGAGGGGATGAGGGAGACACCCCTTCCTCCTTTGCCCCCCAAAGAATGCTAATTTGGGCCGCTTCACAGACTAAAGAATTAACTTCTAGAATTGTTCACTGGTTTAAAATTAGATACATAAAAATTCCCATAACATTAAACATGACATAAATTTTAAGATACTTTTTCTAGAATTTACACCGACTACAGCATAAATTTTATGTTTTATCAGCATTATTGGTAAACAATTGATAAAGAATTAAATTTAAAAATAGATATTAATGATATTTATCATTTAACATGGTCCATATTTATACAGGTGCTCCAGGAGATAAAGGTCCCAAAGGGGACCAGGGGGAGAGGGGGCCCCAAGGTATTAAGGGAGATCCAGGCCCATTGGGCCCAGAGGGTCCTTCTGGTGCTCCGGGTACTAATGGTGAACCTGGAAAAGATGGTGCACCAGGGAGTAATGGCACTGATGGGGCCGCTGGGGAAAATGGTTCCCCCGGTGAGAAAGGGGACACTGGTGAACAAGGGCCTCAAGGTACTTTATTAGAAAAAAATCCTTTTCTAATGATTAATTGATAAATTATTATAAATGTGATAAAAGCCACACCCTGATTGGCTGGTTAACTATCTATAAAAAATAAAAATTAATGGTATAACCTCTGAGGCACTATTCAGGAACTACACCAGTCTAAAAAATGTTTTGCATTATAAAATCCCCTCTCTTCCCCACCCTTTCTGAATCTGAATCTGAATCTTTATTTAACCACGGTAAAATACATCAGTCAATTACAGCTAANATATGAATCTTTGAATTTCATGGACCACGAAATTCATCTGTGACCGAGGTGCATCTCGGTAAGTGGCAATGGCAAAGGGGATATGACATCTTTTTCGCTTGCTGATAACGAAAAGTGATAGGGAACCTTAAGGACGTTCGCAGGGACATGAAGTTGCAATCAGAGATTTTTAAACATGGCATAAACATACCCCAACATATACTTGTTCAAAGAATGAAATAAAAAAGGGGGTCACCGAATTCGTTTTTGCTTTTTGCTTTGCTAAATGCTGAGGAAATATGGTATTCATCGAGGGAAAAACGCGCGCTATAGAGTAACCTGAGGGATCAAAAAACGCTTCGAAAAATATCAAAACAACATCAAAGAAATGCAGGAAAAAGATTCATGGCCATTAAATATGACTTTTTACCATATAATTATCCATAAAATACCTACATTTCTCCTTTTCGAAAAACTGATATTTTCACATGTGAAAATAACATGTCATTTTCACATGTGAAAATATCGTTACCATGTGTATTTAAGCTATTAGTTTATAAATAAAAACTTTTTATGATAACAAAAAGCTTATTAAGCTGATTTTGTGGATAATTATATAATAAACAGAATATTACATGGGCGCTTAGAGATACGAAATTTATCTTCCCGTGTTGAAAATCTCTCACTCGTGAAAGATCTTCTCAACACTCGAAGATAAATTTCGTATCTCCGCGCGCCCATGTAATATCCCGGCTCTATTTTTAACATTTCTGATTTAAAAACATGTGAGTAAGAGTTAGTAATAAGGATTTATGAAGCTATTTTAGTTTCTTGGTGCACACAACACAAATGTCAACTGACGTACTGATGCCGAGCGTCCCGGTCAAAACACCCCATGATGCAATGCATTATTTGCTACAAGGCTCTTTTAGGTGGAGGGGAGGGAGGAAATAAGAAAACAACGGCTAAAAACAGCTTAAAACCACCCAAGAAAAAGTTAAAAAGCATTAAGCATTTGCTGGCCCTAAACTGTGGAATGACCTCCCACTTCAAATTAGGAAAAGTTCTTCAATCCAATTATTTAAAAAAGAACTGAAAACTCATTTGTTCAAGAACTTTGTCTCCTCTGGTTCAAARTGAACATCAATGAACTATGACATTTCATTAATATTGTAACATACGTCTGGTATTTATTTTATTTCTTATTGTGAAGCGCCATGAATTTTGATATGTGCGCTATATAAGTTCCATTATTATTATTATTATATACATGCTTTAGATACTGCTTTACATGTAGGCCGTGGGAGTCTTTACATTAAGAAAACACATTTTCAATGTTTTTCTTGAATTGTGAGATGTTTTTGCCTCTCTCGCTCTCCCTCTCACTCTCTCTCTCTCTCTCCCTTTGGTACTACCACAGGCAGCCCACAAGTAACAGTAAAAATTATTCACAATATCTAGTTCCAGAATTATAATCCATACTGGAGGAATTCTTCCTCCTACCCCCAGAAATTCCAGTTTTTTTCCATACAAACTCTGTAATAATTTTGTTCTTTCTCTGACCCCCTACCCCTTGGAAATTCCAAATTCCTTTGGGGGGGGGGGATGGTTAATTTCTGGAACTACACAGTAATCAAACATGCAACTCATTAAAAACCACTTGATACAGAACATGGGCTTCCTGTGGGAAAACTAATTCTCCTTGGGGGGGAGGGGGAGAGGGGAGGTATAGATATTCTCACAAACCATGTACAGTTTACAACTGTTAAATATAATGATGACAATTTAACCTTTGTTCCAGGTCCAGAAGGTACCCCAGGCCCTGTTGGTCCAGAGGGTACCCCAGGTCCTGTTGGTCCCGAAGGTGCAAAGGGAGACAAAGGTACACTAGATATTAGCCATTCTGGGTTAGGAAAAACCTTGGGTCAGGGTGGCATTGCAGTGCATTGTGGGACTGTTTAGGAGGCAAAATAGATGCCATCTTGGTAATGTGTCCTCTAACATAGTCCCACAATGCACTGCAATGCAAATTTGATACAGTAATTTCCTTGGCCTGGCAAGGGCTAATACTGTATTCCTAGGACTACAGAGGGCAATAAGGAGTTTGCATATTGTGTTATAGGTGGCAGGGGGCRGAGGGCTATTGGCACGGAAAAAAATAGTACACTATCATAGTATGCATTAAACTAAAAGTGGGTGGTCAGGCTTGAAAAATTGGAGAGGCTACAGATCCTTCTCTTATCCCCACCTCTTCTAGATTTCTCCAGTCTCTGTATTCATAGCAGATACCTGATCAATTATCAGTATAAAGGGGCAGCCTTTTGAAAACTTAGAGACCCTCATAATGAGTGGCCAAGAAAACATGACGAAACTTTTCTATGGTTTGCAATCCCTCCCAAGAAAGACAACCCAAAGACGTAGCAGCCATGCATGGTAGTGATATAAATAATGAAAGCTATAAAACGTTTTCACTCACATGAGAAGGCAGCCATAAACAATAGAAACTTTCTGAACAGTATTAATTGCATAAAAATAGAGTCCAATTCCAGGAGGATAGAAAACGTATTGTTTTGGTACCCCATAACGGCTGCTGTGATGTCATGTGAAAACGCTCTATTGAGGATCTTTTGTTAAATCCCACGAACATGTGATGTAATGTGCAATCGAAGAATTGTATTAAGTTTTTGGTTATTAATTTGAACAATATTCTTGCTATTAACAGGTGACCCAGGAGTGGATGGAAAACAAGGTAAAGAGTTTAGTCCTGAGAGAAAATAATTTCAAATTATTGCAAAAAACGTTTGAGCAGATTCCCTGTTTTATGCTGAATAAGCATTTCTTAGAAGATTGAGCAACAGAAATTAAGATTGCTATATGTGTGTCATTTAGATTTCCTGCAAATTGTAGATTAATTTATTAATTTTAGATTTTGTAATATTTCAGGACCACAAGGAGACAAAGGAGATCAAGGTTAGGACCATTTCCCATTTTCTATTCATCAACTGTTCAGTCACTTATCCATCCATTCATCCATCCATCCACACACCCACCAACCCACCGACCCATCCATCCATCCATCCATCCATGCCAT